ATGATAATTTATCTATTTGCCAAAATAATAAAAGAGCAGATGACTTGGCAAGAATTCAAGTTTATGATGAAATTTGGAATTGTCTTTCTGGTATCTCACGTGAGAATTTCCACAAGCAAACTCAAAGAGCTTGTAAGATTTATAAATTATTTAACGGTATAGGAGAGGATAAGATTAAACGGGTTAAATCTTATAGTGCGAATGGAATATCAAAACTCTCTAGCTTGCAAATTCAATATATTATAGAACATTTTACCAAAGAATCCCGAAATAGTAAGAATACTTTTACTTCTAACAAGGTGGAATGTGTACTGTGCAACCTCGGGTCTCACCCTTATGTGACTAAATCGTCTGACTCAAATGATTTAGCAGAAAGTGAGGTAAGTGCATCACCTATATCTCTATCTAATTCAATTTGTGATCATATTTATTTTCGTAATAAAATATTAAAGCAATATCCTAATTTATGCCAAGAAGGTAGTGATGGAAATGACGATTATTACGGAATTACTGATAAATCATTATGTCCACTATGTAAGTTGGATCATGATGATGAAAATGGTATAGAAGGCAGATATGAAATTGGATCTTATAATCTTAAATGTGAACAGCGTGAAATTAAAATTGAGATAACAGTATAAACTCTGCCTTCCCTTAACTATAATTAAGGGCCAGCTCAGCCAGAAAGTAAGTGATCACTATATGTACTTGCATTTAAACAGAAGCTAATTACTTTTTTTTCTTTTTTTGAATTTATGAAAAAAAAGGCTCTGAGACATATTTATTTTTTGTTGGCTATTGTTAATTTAAAGAGATGTGGAATTATATAAAATGGCAATATGAATACACAAGCAAAAGCCAATAAAATATTAGCTTCCAAATATTTGGAGTAGGAAGCTAAATTAACAGAATTGCCAAATATTTTGACAGATAAAATCCATTCTAGGTTATATAAAAGATATAAGAATAAAACTGGACTCGATCCCTGGATAAACTCTGAAACTTTTAGATTCTTCCAAATTGAAGATATTAAAAATAAAACAGAGGTACGCATATTACCTATAAACAAAAATGCATCTCTCAATTCTTGTCTTCCAATTTCTATATTACCTGATGATCCAGAAGAAAAATGAAATTTTGTTATCAAAATAGCTGATTTTAGGCCTATCATGTTTGAAGCCAAACCTGATTCAGAGTTAATTATCAAATCTGTGTTAGAGCATTTCACATACTTGAAATTCCGAAATAGTTTTAGAGGAATTGATAATTATAGTTTTGCATCACCTCAGCCGTGGAGCTCACCATGTCCTGTTTGTGATGAAAAACATGGGAATTATGGATTATATGGCAAATGATATAGAAATGAAACAGAATATTGTCTTACCTGCAACACTTCAAGTAATAAACTCAAGTTCGCAATTGTAACATAGTCTGGTTATGTGGGCCGATCACCGCCTCCAGGAAATCTGCAGAGAAATTAATAATATATGCGGTAAGTATATTATTACTGTACTTCTCACAGTAACGGGCGCGTGATTTAAATTTATTTTTATAGAATGTGACCCCAGGTCATGGCATTACGTGATATAAAATCGCATAAAAATAGAAAATGGAGGGGCACGAAACCCCTCCCTTTATTTCATAAAAATTGTTGCCAGAACGACAATGTATAATGAAAATATATTTTTTTATTATATAATAAAAACACAAATGAGAAAATAAAATATATATTGTTATTTTTTCATATCAATATAATCTGCATTATCACTACCACTGAGTAGAGACAAAATGGGAGTTCTGGCACAATTTTTGTTACCCTATATCAATCTTGCATATAAATTCGCTTTTGCA